AACACGATCTCTCTCCCAGCTCGTCAAATACTGCCTCTTGGTCAGTGGCCCTCTACTTTGAAATATGACGCTGAAGGTATCCCTCTTGCGTCAATTCTGGAAGGCAGGGCTCTGTGGTCAACTTAGCAACAATAAATACCATAAAACGTTAATTAGAAGCAGGGTCCTGATTAGAAGCAGGTCTCTTTTACTAGCCTGGTGTGACTATATGTTTTGACAAATAAAGGCAGGTCTCAATTAGAGGCCTGGTGTAGATTTTATAGAACTAGCCAGAACTAGCCAGGAAATAGTCCGGCACACAAACTACCATAAAACTACAAACTGTCGTCTTTACACTTCAGTTTTTATACAAATTAAACAAGATACATTTAATTAGTGAACTTTAGAGGTGGAGGTAGGTGTTTTTTGTACCTCTGGACAGAGCCAACTTAGCTGTTCCCCCCTGGTTGCACTCTTTATTGTAAGCTAAGCTAAATAGTTGCTAGCTGCAGCGTCACAGTGTCATACAGACATGAGAATGCTATCAATCTGCTCATCTGACACTCGGCAAAAAAGCAAATAAGCGTTTTTTCTAAATTATCAAAGTATTCTTTTAAAATGCGCAAAGACTTTCAAACTTAGAAGCAAGATTTGCAGAATATCTATCTGACCTTGAGAAAGCCCTAAATAATAATTCTGTATTCTGTTTTCAAGTGATGTAGTGTGGTATTTAAAAAAGTACTCCATGTCCTTTGTTTTCCACTTCCACTTTTCTTCTTTGATGACCCTGTATAAATGTGCTCAGAAGGTTTTGCTGGTGACCTATCAACTTATTTCCTCTTCCCCATCGAATCAGAAGCTCTCTCACATCGCCGTCTTGCCATTGTTGCATCTTGTAATGTACAAAACAAGATCCCTGTTGCACGTTCCCATAGACTCTAAAAATACCTAAATAACTTAGAACTTGAACACACATCAAAGCATTGTGCTGGAAAATGGCACAGAATATTGGTGTGTCATGTATCCATCACGGCCTGTGACTATTACAGGGTCATTTGACCCGAGAACGAATGCAGACTGTACCCTTTCCCACTGAAGACAAAGACCAAATGTTAGTGGGTTGTTTGTCCAGTGTGAAAAGGGCTTTAGTCTTGTTAAGTATGCATACTGATTTGATTGAATATGTCTAGAAAAATACTCCACACCTGCTTAGAGTTAATATGCAGTAGGACTTTGGAACACTTAAGAACTGTGTTGTTTGAAACTGTCATTGTAACAGCCAGTGGCAGAAGAGTAAAGAAAAGAGCAGCACCCACACAAAGTCAAATGTTATTAGAATAAAACCTTAAAAAATAAAGGCAGCACATACTGCCCACACTGTTTGACTGACTAGTAAATGCTGAGAAGTTCAATGGAGAAACAGAACAGCAACAAGCACTTAGCGCCAAACACTGAAACAAGGAGATTTAAACACAGAGGGTGCTGATAGAGTGTGCGTACAGATTGAAAGAACAGAATGCAGTACATTGATTGTGCTGAATATAAATACTTGCAGTATTTCAGTGAATCAGACTCCCCACATAGACTTTACAGTTTGTTCCACTTTAATTTTGTGTCGACTCTGACCACAGCAGAGCACCACATCTCGTCTTTCCCTGAGGCTTTTCTGGTGTTCAGTGGCAGTGTAAGTCAATATTGGCTCAGTCTCCACAAGGCTGCTGGACCAAACTCAAAATCATTGTATTCCAGTGTGGGATGGAAATGTTGCAGCAGGGTGAGAAGTCTCCTAAAATGGCACCACACAAGTGAGAAGAAACAGTGGAGGTGCAGCTTTACTGCACAACAAAGCACACAAAGGGCTGACCCGAAGGCAGCGGGGTTGTGTGAGGGACACAGGCTTGTACAAGTGCACTGATGCACACAAAACACACACTGCATACACACAGAGGGAGAGCAAACACACAGACCCTCACAAACAGCCAAACCCTGAGGGCAGATCTCATCAAGGTCGTGTCTGTTTGCTTCCCTGTGTTGTCAGTCTCACATTTTAACACTGGAGAGTCAATCACAAGGCTCTCACAAGGGTCCTCTCGTATTGTTTGTCATTTCATTGGCTGCAGAACAGAAGAGTTCACCGTAGGTTGTGATTTTGCACAGCAGCCTGCAGACGTTGATACATTTCTACTCATCCTGTAACTGCTTGTTAGGTTTAGCTACTGTACAGTATGCTGTCACCAAATTATTTAATGGATAATTCCTGTTTATTATAACTTACTTTCATAGTTATGATCATCATTCATATCCGTAATGATCATTTCACTGAATTTCATCGCTGAAATCTGGGAATTTAGCTACATTGCTTATAATATATCAGACATGTAGAAGAAGGGTATGGAACAAGACCTGTGACCTGTCAGCCTTTAAACACATCCCAAGTTAGGTGAACTTATTTGGAAGAGAAAACTAATGAAAAAAGTCTGTTTACTATAAACACAGGTGGGTAAGTCTGTATTCTTCTCTGTATTCGTATCCCAAGTCAAGACCAACAAGCCCCAAGTCAAAATCCAAATTGTGTGTTTCCAGTCCTAAACAAGTCATCATGCACACTTCACCTAATCTCTATAAACAGATATGTGCATATAAATGCAGAATCTGTTGGCAAGGGACCAAGATTTTGGCATCAGAAGAGTCCTGGTTTTAGTTTGTAGTCCGAGTAGTAATCACCAATCACATTTGGTTGCGCATTGGTTGCATGCAGGTAAACAGTCTGTGTGGAGAGATAAAACCCTTCGGCTATATGGTCTGACAGCGATTTAGCTTTTTATTAGTTTTTGAAAAACGTATCTGCATTCATTTGCAGATATCTGTTTAGAGTTTAGCTTAAATGTGTTTCTCGTCATTCTCATGTATAAAGTCTGATCGGACTGCAAAGACAGTCTTGGCCCAAATATCCGTTATCTGGATATTCATTGTCTACACCAAAGCCCCGAAACATTGGTTGTTGCCCACAGAGGCTCAATCATCATCAGTTGCAAGCAAATGGGTTCAAGGATTGCTTTTCACACAAAGAAAAAGCTGAAAATTAATCATTAACTATTTGGTTAATCAACAACTTGTGTATGTCATTTTTAAAGAAAAATGTAAAACTTGCACTGACTTGCCTTTTTAGTGCTATTCAGAAGGGGTTCTCAACCTGGGAGTATGGTCCTTGAGTATGGAATTAGATTTGTGCCAAAAGAAACAAACAAAAATAGGAATTTGAGAGAACATAAAACTAATTTCAAAAATAAAACTTATAACTTGCAATCAAATAATTTGTCAAATAGTGTAAAATATTGACATTATTTTGTTTACGGTTCCCTCTGCTTCTCTCTCTAAGCTCAGACTTTTGCGCTGACTAAATTGTGATCATGCTGGTAATAACAAATGCTTTCTAAGTTAGTAAGTTCCCTTCAAATCATAGTTTTCATTTCATTTTCATTGTAGCCTTAATAATTTTTGCATTCTGTACATAGCGGCTGCAAAATAATCTAAACGTTTATCAAATTGCAAAAATGGCAATATTCAACCCTGCAGAAGATGCAACTTTTAGATTAAAGGTAATGTGTGACAAAGGAGCATTATAATGGAGTACTGTAGTGCTGCAGAGATACCCTGACTTACAAATCTTGTTCTCCAGATTTAAAAAAACATGTTGTTTAGTACATACACATAAAATGTCAAATCATCATGATTGTAAAGTTTTAAATAATGGTGTGATGCAAAAAGATAATTGCGAATCGCGGGAGGTGACATGAGAAAAAAACTCGACCCTTTGAAACTCCGAGATCTCGAGTTTTCTTTTGCGAGATCTTGCAAATCCGACAATGTCTGCTGGCTGGCCCTCGCGCGGGGCCATCTCCTCCGTCGGCGGTGCGCCGCTACCGGCTCCTAGTCGGCTTGAAAAGGCTCAGGGGCGAAGGTGGCTCGCGGCTTCGGCTGTGAGCTTTAGAGCGCCCGCCCGCCCGGACCTCGCCGCTTCCGGCCGTGGCCTAAGTGCTCGCTGCGCCCTCTCTCAAATGTGGGGAGGGACGGGCCCCCTCGCTCCGTGCGACTGTCAACCGGGGCGGAACTGTCCTCAGTGCGGCTCCAACATGCGTCGCCGTCGCCAGGCGGGGATTGGCTCACGTTAAAAGGCGTCAGGGTCTGCGGCGACGTCGGCAACCCACCCGACCGTCTTGAAACATGGACCAAAGGATCTAGCGCACGCACAAGTAAGAGGGTGAAAAAACAAACCCCGGTGGCGCAATGAAAGTGAGGCCTGGAGTGGGATCCGGCCAAACTCAAGATCTCGATTTTCGAAGATAGAGATCTCGAGTTTAAAGTAGAGATCTCGAGTTTCAAAGTCGAGATCTCGAGTTTCAAATTCATTGCGCACAGGATTTTACTTCACCCTCTGACTCGCGCGTGCGTTAGACTCCTTTGGTCCGTATTCAAGCGCGGTCGGGTGGGTTGTGCGACATCACCGCAGACCCTGACGCCTTTTACGCAGCGAGCACTTAGTCCCTGCCCAGGAAGCGACGAGGTCCGGGCGGGGGGCGAAGCGCAAGCCACCTTCGCCCCGAGCCTTTCCAAGC